GTATACAGCCTCTTTGTACTCTGATGTATTGTTCCATCACTTTCATTACTTTGAGTCTCATTGTCTTCGGATGGACCATACCAACTATAGTCTACACTTCTATCAGTGTCACTGTGTTCAGATAGCAGTTTTATTATGGGACTCACAGGACTTTTTTTTTACATAAAATTAAACTTGTATTGCAGTTGCAGTTAAGAGCTGTTATTTTGTTTTTATTATGTCCACTATTATCAAAGGAAAACCCCATTATAATACCATTCTTACAAAAATACAATTTATAACAATGCTTGAGAAAGATGTCTTTATTCTTTTTGTGCACTGTTCATTGAGAAAAAAAGCAAAGGAATTTATATGCTGTCATTAAATATCTCCTGAAAATGGTCTGTAATGGTTTAACAGTGTGCAAGCATGGATACCCTAGATCTAGGATACACTATTTTGTGATTCTTATTTTTATTTTTCCATAGACATTCCTTTGAGATTATTAAAAAAGGATAAATTATAGCTGATATAAATTCAGCAAAACAAAGGTCACAGAGGTAAACCACACAATAATTAATCATGCTATGGTCAGCCATAATAATCCAACAAGGTTGCACTGGCCAGAGTTCATTTGTTTGAGTTATGAGATGTAATTCTTAAGCCTCTTATTCCTCTGTAAAGGTTTTATTTATTCCTTGTGTGTGAGCTTGTTAAGAGTGGGGGGTCTGTGAGCGAGGTACATTTAGGGCTGGTCTTATGTGACTGCCTTCCCTAGAAAAATGTTATGTAATCAGACTGTGATATACGGTATATGCTGTATATACAGATTATGAAGCATGATCAAGATATCATTCACTTGCTTTTATTTTCTGTTTTACTTCACCTGGTGGTTTTAGCTGTTTAATTATTTGTCTCTCGCTGTTTTTTTTTGTTTCTTTCTCAAAACTACTCTATCAAAGTCTGGCTGTGTTAGAGGCAGGGTGTGGCAGATCAGCAGTCATTAGAAAAGTAGCTTCAGCTGACCTGCCACAAGAGGTCTTTTAGACCTCCATTGTGTGTAAATAGGTTCACATGTGATATATTATTGATAATTGGTGAAGGGATGAGAGTCATATTCTCATATGGGTTTAATTTAGATTGATTTAGTATATAAACCTATTCATAGCCATCCATCTTGTTTAGTTGGCTAGTGCAGGTTTTCTTTTTGTGTTTGTTGCTGACCTTTGGTAGAATCTCATTGCATGGTGTTTTCTTTTTTTTTGCTGTTATGGCCATGTGCTCAAGCCTTATGAGCCATCTGAGGAGAGGTAGGCTACTTACAGATGTTCAATTGCAATGATGATGTTGTGGCCTAGTTAATATGAAACAATCTGGTGATCATCTCAATATTTTTAGATCAATTACAATGTAAAAATGTGTAGAACAAAGCTGGACACCAGCTGAACCTGTGCTTAGTATTGGCTAAACATTGTTCTAATAAGTATGAACTGTAGGGGGCTCTGAATAAAAACATTACACTTAATCTGATTTATAATTTAATATGTAGGCCACATTCGTGTATAATTATTGTTTTGTTTATATATAACTGAATGTCCCTGACAATGTAATGTTGGTTTTTAACTTAAGAACTGTATTTATGCTACAATATACTAGATAGGGGTATATAACTACTAATACAATAGTCAATTGCAATTAGTCATGAAGCAAATGAGTACAGCAGTTGCAGGCTTGAATTTGACATCTACTGTATAGTATTAGCGGTGTTTATTTCCATTGTTAAATTATATAGATTCATATGGATATCCTTCAAACGAAGGTTTTATGTATAGGCTACATTTGTTGCACTTCATTTAAGTTTTTTTATCTTTTATGTACCCTTACATTTGCCTAGGCAATTTTATCCTCTGTACCTCTAATTCCTCAATATACCTGTTTTTCCCCGAAGAGGACAAAAGTAGACTCCCATCATGATTGATCGATATGCAACAAATCTATTCAACTGACATGCAGAATGTGATGGAACACATTTAAGACTTACTCCCAGTTTAAATATTTCTTTAATTTCAGTTCTCTTCATTTCCCAAGATATCTGTAAATTCACTCTTGCATACTAAAGGCTTTATATTAAGCTTCATTTTAATGACACTTTTTTAATAAATGTGTATTAATAAACTTCATTATTAATAAATGAGGTGTGACTGGAAAGCAATTCTAGTTAAATATTACAATAATTTTCCATATATATTATATCCAATGCTCTGGTTAGTATGCTACTAAATTGCTGAATCCATGTACTGTAAAGACATGGTAACCTCTAGAGGGAAGCAACTGTTTTTTGGGGTTCATTGCAATTGAAGGTTTAAAATGGTGCTCCAGAATACTTTTAGCTGCTCAGCTAATTGCATTTGGTCTTAAGTTAGATTAACTAGTTTAGCACAGAGCTGCATGCTAACCATGTGTTGAACTCTATTGAGTACGCTGCTTTCAGTTTGTGTATCAATTGACCCATTTGAAGAAGCTTTTGTTTGATTATTGTGTGAATAAACTCTGAACCTTTCTTACATCTGTTACAATCTTTTAATGTGTACATGTTCCTGTGCCATTCTACTTTCTTATTTTACAATTGTTGGTCTGTGTTCTGCTTTACTTTGTTTGGTAGCTCAGAAATAAGATGGGGATTGTCCAGCATTGTCAGCTTCATTTTAGCATGGGGAAAACAAGTCTGCATTGCTCCCAAATGTGCACAGTAAACTTATCCACTGTGTTCCATACTGCCAACTCCATAGTCACTCACAGAAGATCTAGTATCAACTGGAGAACTGGTACCAGAATGGCTACAGGTGCTGCCTTCATGTAGCAAAATAAGGGTAATATGCAATTCAGAATAACCTGACAACATCAATATACAGCCACTGGCTTACTATTTCTATCAATATTTTACTTGGAGTAGTTGCCTGGGCCTTATCATACTATTGGTACTCTGTGATCTGCTTCTGTAGTATTTGAATGGTTAAGCCACTTGGGATCCTATGACCAATTATTTTTGCTATAGTTGTTATTCCATTGCTAAGTGATGTGGTTATTGTAAGCACACAAGTACTATTTTCTATTAATATTAAAATACCCAATATGACATTTAAAGGCAGTCTGCTGTTACTTTAAAAATGGCCAAAGCAAATGTGTACAGAAATATAGAAGTAAATTAAGTAATCTGGGCTATCACAGTGAGCAAAGTCTAATATTTAGCTTTTTTAAGCATAGCGTATTTCATCAGGATTTTTAATTTTTAAGGTCCTTTCTAAACAAATGAAATGTTATATTGAAGTTGCAGCCTCGAATAAATAATTGGGGAATTATAAATATTTACAGTAATCGACCTGATTATTCGCTCCAAGGATGAAACAAAAACAATTATTACTTAATTATTCACCAAAATAAAGACCACACAGAACTGTGAATTTTAAAACCGATTTCAGGCCATTGTAATAAATCTGTAGACCCCTAAACATACATTTTGAAGTATAATATATTTTATGCTTTGCTTTCCAATTAATTGCTGCAATGTTAGTACTTATAATTTAGTGGTATGTAAATATTGCATTATCATGCACCATCATGAAGAAAAATGGAATGCCATGTTTTTACAATACAGTCTAAGAAGTTAGTTATTCCTCTCAGATACACGAATCATACCCCGGCTGAGTATTCTAATTTTGTTTCACACTAAATTGTTTATTTTAGTGCAAATATATAGTAAATTAACCAAGTCATCACACTATTCATTTGATGGTAGTTCCTGAGTAAAATTTAAAAAGGTGTTTTCATTCTTATGCCTCCCTAATTATGAAGAGGTATCATTTTGTACAAGCTTTGGCTCAGTGAAATGTTTAGACGTTTTAACGCTTAATGTTATTCTGCATTGCATAAAACAGGAAAAAAATAAAAGCACTTAGTGCATTTTGGTGTATGTTTAGTTATTTTAGTGTATTTACAGTATATCAGTATATAATATGAAAGCATTCTACTTTGGTCTGAATATGATTTTAAAAGATTTGGAAATTTAAAATATAGATACTGTACAATATGTGATGTTAATATTACTGTATACTTATTGTAAGCACAACCATTGTAATTTAACATTGCTATCAAAGATAGTATGTGTCCATTAAACTAACATGAGGTGGGTATTTGTCACATTCATATCCTTGGCACACTTCATGGTACAGTAGTTGCATGATGCACAGGTCTCAAGAGTTTGGTGCCCTTGAGATTCAAAGAGTCAGACAAGGTGCAATGATGTCCAGGGTAAACTGGAAATCTGGGTCAAGATTATAGAGGGATATGCAGGTGAAATAGAGATCATTTGTATTATTGCAACAAGGTAATGCTTAGAGTAAAGTATTCAGAAAGATTTCAATTATTTTCTCTGCCTTGATTTCAAAATAAGATTTCTTTGAGTCAACTGTTAAGGAATTTTGAGGGAATGACAGAATGTGCTGGCTTTCTGACACACACACAGGAACTCCTCCAGTGATAAACGGCTAAATTGATGCCTATCGACAAGAGGAAATGATATCTGTACTGTGACCTCCAGCTGGGGAGGTCCTCTGTCATAAATTACATGACAGGGCCTGTGATCCACCAAGAAGGAATAAGCCATGTGCAGATTCCTGCTGTCAATCCATGGTACCACAATTTAGAGATCTCTGCAAAGTAGTTTGCAAGGCTCCCTGTTGACAGTTAACAGTCAACTTCATCACATTCCTGTGTGACCAGAACTGTCTGAACTGCAACTGAGACAAACTTAGCTTCCATTGGACTTCTGTCGACACCACTGAACATCTCCAAAAATTCAGTGTAGCAGTAACAAAATATGGATGAGCAGACTTTGCAAATTTATATCCAAGTCACAGCTCGCAGCTGGTCCAAAGTCCTGAAAACTTTGTACTTGAGTCATTGGAGAAGTTGTCCTCAGTGCAAGGCTACCGTAATTGGTACCCTTCTCTTTTCCTACACAGCCTTTGGCTCAGATCTATGAAACTAAGACTGGGCAAGCAGTGAACAGATGTAGAATTCCTCTCCTTTAAAAATCTGATCAGGACTGTGCCTGGCTAAGAATTTCATAATCTGGTGAGTACATATTCAATGTTTACATTATAATGCTAGTGAATTAAGCTATTATTATTCCAAATAGATGAGTTTAACAAAGATTAATTCACAAATGTATTGGATATCTTTCTTTCAAAAATATGAATGTCCATGTTGTATAAGACTGATTATTACACTTTTTACTACAATAAGTATTTTGTCATCTCTGAATGATTGTTCAGGTTTTTGCATCACTGCAGATTCATTAATATATACTTTCTTAATTGAGCATTTATAAATACTCACTAAAACGGGTGATACATATACATACAGTACCTATTTTTTTATACAAGTTAATTTCCCCTGCTAATACAGGCTCCAAACATGCAGCTTGTTCTTCCATTTGTTGTTTTTTTGCTTCTCTCTGCTGTTGACTGTATTATTATTATCATGAATAATAATTTCTATGGCACTTTCACAGTATGAGGAAAAAAAAGTTAAGAAGAGTTAACAAAATTAGCACTGTTTAAAATTAGGATGTTTCTGCAAAGGGCAAATACAGAACCGATTAAGTTAAAAGCCTTTCTAAAGAAGAAGGTTTTGAGTCTGGATTTGAAAGCACTCAGGGAAGGTGACTCTCTGATATCCTTGGGGATATCATTCCAGAGCTTTTGGGCATAGCAAGATGTACAGTAACTATCTGAACAGTAATTGTAACTGTATTATACCATACTAGTTAAGTATAGTTAAGTAATAAAATTTTGAATGCGTAATTTATACAAATAATATTGATTCACAAATCTTAAAATGTTTTGCAAAGGAATGTTTTATTTTAATTATGTTCATGATAAGTGCACGGTGTTGAGATTACCAGACAGCCTGATGCTCTTATGTTTACAGTTATGGGTTTTGTTCTCTTTGACTTCACAAGATTTAATAACTAACAACAGAAAAAAAAAGTTTAGTGATACATTTTGATTAGTTTGTGTATTGTTTACAGTATGTGCAGTAAATGAGTCATGCAACTTTTTCCACATAACTGCTTCACAAAACATTTAAATATAAAGGCTTGCATAAAAATCAATGTCAGTAAATTCTACTTGTTGCACAATATGCTTAGCAATTTATGCTGCCAAACTATTCGGATACACCAGAAACATGCCTTAACTCAACTGGTTTGTGTCAAGCCAAGAGCACTTGGAATGAATCAGGGACTTTAAAATGCATTTTAATGAGAATCTATTGTTGCTCTTAAAAGTTTTTGCTGATGAATGGAAATTGTGAAAGCAGTTGTTCTTGAATAGCTAGGGATGAGTATATTCATTTTTGTAATGTTTAGTTTGACATTTTATTATTGTATTTATAAAATTGTACACTGTGTTCATTTAATTCATGTGTTCAAGTTGCTGTTTCATCTCAGTGACTTGATTCCTACTTTAGTAGTCTCGCCATCTACATTGGAGAAACATGAAGGAGACTCTAGGACTTCGAGACCGAGAACATGTTAGGGCTGTGAAGATTAAAGATCGCTCCAGACTCATTGTTTCTCATTTCACCTCTGACGGCCACGACCACTGACTCTCCGTCTGTGTTCTCAAAGATGGTTTTCCGAACTCATACATCAGAAAGACCACCGAAACTAAAATTATTCTGCAGCTAGGATCACACCTTCCTCCTTCTCTTAACAACAGACTGCTTTTCTTCTAAATTCTCTCTTCATTGTAGGTTTCATTTCACACTTCTCTTCACCTATCCTGACCACACCTCCTGATTGGCCTCTCTTTCTGTCCCCTGCTCCCGCCTCTCGCTCCTCCTCTTTCCCAGCTTTTGTTCTCCCGCTACATTACCTTTGCTTACTGCCCTGTCTTTCTCACACCTGAAGACGGCTCTGTGGCGGAAACGTTGTGCTTTCTTTCTTATCTTTTCAGCATGGAATAAACCTATTACTTGTTCCTTAGTAGTCTCTGAGTTTACTATCCTCAACCCAACACACCACAAACATCATTTTCATACATTCTTATTACTCTTGTCTTGTAAAACAAATATGGATTATTTACATGGGTTATGCAACTCATAAACAGTGAGATGACAGTGTGATTATAAACAACTTGTAGTGTTCTTCACAAGTATTTGTGAATATTTAATGCACATTCCAGTAGATGGAAGTATTGAAGCAAAACATCAGTAATCTTTGCTCCAATGAAAATTATTAACAGTGCCTAGCTAAAATAAAAACTAAAACCCGTTATTTGCCAGCAGCTATCTTACAGAAAGTGAAAAATTGAAATATGCTGCTTGCATAAGAATTCAGACCCCATACATTAATATTTGGTAGAGACACCTTTGGCCGCAATAAGGACGTCAAGTCTTTTGGGGTAGGTGTCTACCATTTTATCTTTAAAGATTTTCTGTTTGAGTATGTGAGCTTGCAATAAGAATACTGATTGGGGGAAAAAGTACCATTTGTAATCCAGCAACATTTGAACACATTTGAAAGGCACTGTATTTGAAATTAAATTTGCAATGTATAATTTTGTAAATAGTTCCTTTTTGTGTGGGAATCCTTTAGATGAATATACATTAGCCAAATACAAGCATTTCTATATTTTTTGTTGTACAAAGATGGTTCAGAGCTTTCAAATTTTGAAATGTTATTTACACTAATGATCAATAATGTCACAGCAAATATCACCACCTCACCCCCATTTGACCAAAATAGCATTGTACAGTACATAAGAGTTGTGACAAAACTTTAAATACCTTGTCTGTTATCACTCTTGTAATGATTCAAATCCTGAAAAGTGTTTAGTCCTGTGTACACTCACTTCCAAGATATCAGAGCTCAGCATGGCACTAGTGCATGTTTCAGACTGCTGTCTTTCTGAGGTCACTCAACTTTAGTGTCCTGAGCATTTACAGTTGAACCATACTTATAATGCTGTGACTGTTTAGATAAAACCATCACACACAGTAAGCAAATTCTAAGCTAAATGTTTATCTTCACAGAATTCTTTGCTATAGGTCTGAATGTGGATGTTAGAATCTCCATGATTTTACAAAGCCCAACTCAAAATATGGTAAACTGGTGAGCTCCAGATATTGAAAGAGTGCCAAGTTATTTTAAGAGAGTAGAGTGGGAATAGGATATTCTTTATTCTTAATCACATCATTTTGCCCCAATCCTAGATAGAGGGTTTCTGGTGAGACTACTCATAACCATGCAGAGCGTGATCCAAAAGAAGACAAAGTGAGGTGGCACAGGGCATAAAATATGAACTGAGGCATTGAAGAAAGGAGTCTACAAAAACAGACAGCTTTGGTTGAGTATAGAAAGCCAGCATGATCCAAATTACTGCAGACTGTGCCAATGCATCACTCATGTTAGCTGTCAGTTTTATCGGTGACAGAATGAAAGAGGCTTCCACTGGGAAATCAACAGCCTCTTGGCAACTAATATTGAGAGCGGTTATACATTTTCATGAGTGTAAGTGGACAGAAAAAGAAGGCGGGTATCAATAAAGACTAATAGCATAGAATTCAGCTTGCTTTAATGTTTTTCCACCTTTTTTAGCACTCCTGAGGTCCTGAGGAGGATTATTTTAATAGTTCTAAATACCATGAAAAGGCAGAATAATAGAATAAAGAACATATTTTTAATGAACTTAAAATGTTAATACACAGTTAAAATATAAAAAATACTCACACTGTCAGAGACTTAGTCATGAACACAGTTTTACTAACATTGTTTAGATATTACTGCCTACATGTGTATATTTGCTATCAATGCTACATTTTTCATTACCAAAAACATTTTTTAACATTTAATTGCTTCTGAAAGCATCACAAATGCGAGTGATATCCAACATTCTCTAAATGTAACCATTAAGTTTGTTTTCACAGCAGTGAAACAATTCTTTAATAAACAAATTAACAGCAGAACACTGACAACATCATTTAAAATGGAAACTGCGCAACAGGTGTATTATAAAGATTTACAGATGTGTCCAATGGAGGCAGTCATCAGAGAGGTGTGAGTTATGGAAATTGATGAAGAAAATTGGGAAAAGGTTCAATTAGCAAAACTGCTTACTTTAAGTTCAGTTTGACTGTCATAATTCAGATATCACATGTCTGAGTTTGGATCATGGTACTAGCTTACAGATTGGGATTCTGTTGGCATTGGTACATAACTGGACACAAGGATATCTAGTACTAACAGATCAGATCTCTATGTAATAATGAAGTAACACACTGAACGATGATCAGTATATTACACCAATCTAACTCTTTTCATCAAGAGGCAGGCAATAACAATCTGGTAGTCTGTTGGCACAGCAGGATGTCTTCTCACATCTGGACATCCTGCCTCATACTGGAGACTAAGCTGTAACTGTCTTCATGTCTCCATGTTGTACCTTTTCTGCTCCATGGAACTGATACATTGACTCTGACAGTTGCAATATGCAGAAGAGTGGATGCGTTCAACAGCTGGTGCTTAAAGCAAATCTCACGCATAATCTTTCTGCAGCCTGTCACGGGTATGGAAGTTAGATGCATAGCTGAACAGCCACCTGTCTCTGCTGTCATCAAAGCTGGACAGCTCAAGTTGTTTAGATGCAAAGCCAGTGGCAAGAGGAAGAATTACAGCACCAGAGCTAGCCAAGGCAACAGCTGTAGATATCAGAAATTAGGAGATCCTCACATAAGGAGATTACAGTAGAGACGGACCTCAGAGTCATGAAATGATGGCTTGTTAGTGGGCACTGAAATCATAAAGTCTAGCCTTGTGACCACCAGTCAGCTGGATATTCATAGTCAGACTGGACTATAGAAACTAACGTATAGTTACAGCACACTGGACATTAAACTGATTATTCACTATAATGTTATTGTTAAAAGCATGATCACTTAATGCTTGTTAAATGTAAACATAGTGGGGTAGTTGGTTCTAAAGTCCCACAACCATTTCAGTAAAACTATCAACATGTATTTTGAGGTTTTTTTTTAAGTTACATATTTTAAATGACATTTTAAAATATTTA